CCCCCGTTCAGCTGCCTCAGCCCTTCCTCCCGCACCACCAGGCCTGTGGATTTAGCAGTTTCCACACGTCCGGTGCCTGGGGACGGACTGATTGATCTGTAACACCGAAAAAATAATAATGGCTTGATCATTACTGAGGATTAAAAGTAATCCTTTCGCTGTGGCTATTGCAACTCCGTTATTCACGAGTCAGTGGGCTGACCCGGGCCTTTGAGCCTGTGGGACTCCATGAGTTCAAGGAGGCTGAGGGCTGGGGCCCTCCCTCCCTGGTCTCCCTCACCTTAGCCACTAGGCTAGCGAGCCTGAGGGGCCATCAGCCCCCGTGTTCCTGAGGCCTGTGAATCCCAGGGTCAGACCTAAGTCCTGAAGGGTGAAGGAGCTGGCATCTGCTGGCCAGCGGGGGAGGTAGGGGCTGGAGAGGACAGCTCCTCAAGGCCATGGCCCAGTTTGGAGACTTCAACTAGTGTCCGTTTGGTGTTTGCAGCCCTATCAACCGTGTGGCTTTTCTGTGGCAAGGGACCTGATCTGGTTGTTCCCACATGTGTCCCAGCCTCATCGTCCATGAAGTGGCAATGGCTCCAGGCCCACTCTGAGAAGGGTCTGGATCCCTGGGAAGGTGTTGGGCCACTGGGCAAGGAAAAGGGGTATGCAGTGACTCACCCCTCAAGATGCAGCCCCAGGGGATGTTCCCTGGGCTCCCACACTCCATTCCAGGCCTGGTGCCGAGCTCGCATGGTCAGTGCTCCGTTAACAGGAGTGGCAAGTGTTGTTAACCATGTGTGTCACACAGTAACGTCCTCTGCAGAAAGGCACTGCCAGCTTGTGAATCAGGATCCATCAGGGGGTCGGGCTCGGGTGGGGGTGTTTGTGGTTTAGGCTGAGAGGAGGACCCAGGATGGAAAGGGAGGGGCAGGAGTTGGGCACAGGGGGGCTCCTGGGGCCTTAAGAAAGCTTTGCCTTTTCTATGCAGAGCCATAGGGAGCTGCCAAAGGTTTAGGGGTTTGGGGAGGAGGGGGATGGCCATGTGCTCAGGTCCACATTTTGAAGAGGCTGCAGCTGCTGTGTGGAGAAGGATGACGAAGAGCAAGAGGGGACGCAGGAGCCTGGGCTGGGGATGGTCAGTAAGGTGGTGTGAAGAACACTAAGGGTGGGATGTAGCGGCAGTGGTCACAGGGTGGATGGGCTCATTCTAAGAGGGGGTGTTGTAAGCTCTGGTGGGCCTAAGGGGTACCCCAGAAAGGTATCCAGGAGCTCAGGAGGGGCCAGGATTGGAGGCAAGACCTGGGAGCCATCTGGGAGAAGAGAGGCCTATGGTTCCTGAAGCTGGATTATGGGGGTAGGGCCTAGCCAAGCAGCCACTGCAGTAACTAACAGGTGGGCAGAGGACAAAACCTGCAAAACAGACGGGTGGGGGTGGCAGGAGGGTCTCAGCAATGTGAAGTGAGGGAGTTTGACTTTCCCACCCTGCCCCCAGGTCCCCCAGCCTCATAGCCTTCCCAGCATTCAGTGCTTTTGCCCTGAGGAGGAGGGGGAGCCAGGCCCAGCGGGAGTAGGGACAGCTCTACACAGCCCTTCTAACAGCCAGAGGTGGCATCCTGCCCAGCGAGTGGGTGCTGCGGCTCTACAGGGAGTCCCACCAGGCCCCCACCACACTGTTCCACGCTAGAAGGGAGGAAAAGCTGGTCTCCCATTTCCCCCGATGGGCAGCTTCCAGGCTTTATTTTAGAATCTCCCCTCTTGGGCCCACAAGCCATCAGGCCTTGGGATGGATGGGAGTGTTTTTCTTGAATACCAAGGGGGCAGGGCCCTCTGAGTAGGGGCTGGAGGCCAGAAGGCAGGACCCTACTGCTCCACTCATGGGGTCAAATAGGGCAGGGAGTTGGGGACCAGAGCCCCTTCCACACCAAGAGCTACTCTTTTCCTCCCCGGGCACGGTGAGCCCTGTGGAGCATACCTTCGGACCTTGGTCATGGGCTGGGCAAGGCAAATTTGGTGGTGAGGGCCCCAGCCCAACCCAGAGCCCCTCTGTGACCTTAGGCAGGCTGCTCACCATCTCTGTACCGGGTACCCTCATCTGAGGAGGACACATCAAGCACGTTGTGAATGGTGACAGGTACACATGACGTGTCGCTGGCCTGGGGGAGGGCTTGGATGCAGTAGACGATCAGTTCAGGGTGACAGTCATCATTATGATGAACAGGATTTCACTGCACTCAGCTCTGCAGGAGGCCCTAGAGGGCCAGGCTCAGTCCTGTCCTCAGGAGCCTCAAAACTTCCTAAAGGGGGACTTCCGTGGTGGCGCAGTGGTTAAGAATCCACCTGCCAATGCAGGGGACAAGGGTTTGAGCTCTGGTCCGGGAAGATCCCACATTCTGCGGAGCAACTAAGCCCGTGCACCACAACTACTGAGCCTGTGCTCTAGAGCCCGCAAGCCACAACTACTGAGCCTGCGTGCCACAACTACTGAAGCCTGCGTGCCTAGAGCCCGTGCTCCGCAACAAGAGAAGCCACCGCCATGAGGAGCCTGCGCACCGCAACAAAGAGTAGCCCCCGCTCGCCGCAACTAGAGAAAGCCCGCACGCAGCAATGAAGACCCAACACAGCCAAAAATAAATATTAATTAATTAATTAATTAATTTTAAAAAAAGACTTCCTAAAGGGACAGGATCTATGGAGGCACAAAGTAAGAATCTCTGGGTCAGGATTCAGGCCCAAAGGGTAGCGAGTTTCCAGCACCTCCTCCAGGAAGCCTTCCCTGACCTCCCAAGTTCCCACAATGCTGAGCTTCCCAAAGCACCTCAGCTAGTCCTGCCCTAGTTGTTCTGCCTGGTTATGTCTGTTTTCTCCTCTGAACTGTGGGAGGGCAGGGCTGGCTCTGCCATATCTCCACACATCAGCTCAGTCTGGCACTAGGTGTATTGGGTAACAAGGTGTGGGATGGACAGACGCAGCTGTGCTCACAGGCACAGGGGCCTCAGTGGAGCAGGCCACAGGAACCAGCACCAAAGGATGGAACAGGCTTGTGCAGACAGAAGGCTTAGAGAGCCCTGCTGGGAGGGGGCTCAGGAAGCCAGGACAGGGACAGTGGGGACAGGCCTGGGTGGGCAGAGGTGGGCTGTGGGCACCTCCTTCTGGGCCCTGAGCAAGCTGGGGGCAAAGGTGCATCAGCGAGGCACTCTGTCACTTGTGGCATTTCCTCTTTGGCTGGGGAAGGCCTTCCTCTTGACACTGGGGTGACACTGGTTTGTAGCTAGTAGAGAGTATCAGTGGGCTTGGCTCCAGGGCCTGGGTCTTAATATGCCTCAGGGGTCCCCCTGCCTTCCTGTGGGCAGGAAATGTGGCTGAGCTGAAGTCCAGGGAGTCCCGTGGAGGTGCCACTCAGGTCTGTGCAGGCTTCACCTTTCCTGTGGGAGCCCGATGTGGGTGGGGGAAGGTCCCACACAGCAAGCTGGAGAATGTCTGGGATCAAGGAATCTCTGAGAGTCTGGCACGATCTCCAGGGAGTCCCTGAGCCAGTCTGGCCCCAGGGACTGCTGGGGCTGGAGAAGGCTTTGGGCTGGGCACAGACCTTCCTCAGTCTCTGACCTCCCTGTGCTCTGTCCCTCAGAGATTGGCTGACGCTGCAGAGAACTTCCAGAAAGCCCACCGCTGGCAGGACAACATCAAGGTAAGAACTGCAGTGCCCTCCCCAGCCCCTAGGACCTGCCCACCCGCAGCAAGGGTGGATGTGCATGCAGGGGAGGAGGGAGAGGGAGGCTGCCCAGACCCACTGGAAGGGCACGAAGGGCTCTGTGGGGTGGAGCCAGGAACCTTTGCCCAACGTTCAGCAAACATTTGAGGCTCCCCTTGGTGCTGGGACACAGGGTGCAAATATGAACCTCTCATTCCACTCCCAGCTCCCAGAGGAGCTATGGAGTCCCCCATGAGCACATAGGCTGCTCTGAAATGATGCTCCCCAAAGTTGGCATCCCCTTGGTGGTTAAGGAGGTGCACAGACTCCTTGGACAGCCCCTGGGGCAGAGAGGCCTCTTGACTCCAGGACTTCCCAGACTTCAATACACTGACCTGGAAGAGATGCTGGGGGAAAGAGACCCAATCCCCTTCCCAGACTTCCCCGAGCAGCAGCCTGTCTTCCAGAAGGCTGCCAAGCTGGGATCGGGGACCAAGCTGTCACAGCCACTGAATTCTCTCCTTCCGCCAGCAAAGCTCAGAAGGGGCTCAGGCGCGGAGCAAGTGGCGGCGTGAGAAGCTGGGAGCAGGACTCTTTTTGAGGACAGAAGGACCCAGAATGTGGGGGAGGGAAGGAAAGCCTCATTGACCCCCAGCTTCACACCCAGGTGGCTCACATATTCAGGCAGCTTGTGTTTGATTTGAGCAAGACTGGACACACCTGCACCTTTCCTGTCAAAGGATAACAGTAAACCAGAAGAGAGACTGAGGCAGCGTTCCTCCCAGACTCAGGAAACCCCCGATGCCAAGGATGACGGAACCCTCGGGGACCAGACCAGTTGGCAGGGCTCGCTGTGTCCTTCACAGCCACTCAGGCATGTGGGCCACGCCTCCCGGTGGTCTCTGTGCTAAATGCAGGGAGAGGCACCAAGAGCTGCCCCCTGGGACCCAGGGGCCAATAAGGGGGAGGAGGGAGGCCTTGACTCACTCCAGCTCTGAGCCTGGCACCTCTAGGAGGCGGGAGGGATTATTATCCCTACTTAACTGATGAGAACCCTGAGGCACAGAGTGGTTAGACCTACCTGAGGTCACCTGTTGGGGGCAGAGTCTCACAGCTGTGCCGTCAGGTGCCAGGGGGTGCATGCCTATGATGCAGGCCCCCTAAACCTGTTCCTTCTCCCCAGTCCCCATCCCCCCAGGCCACCCTGAGCACACATCATAGCACTCTTCCTTTGCTGCCTGGTGGGTGCTGGGTGCTGCCCTCAGGGAGCTCACATGGTTGTGGGTAACATGATTGTTTACAGTGAGCACATCAATGAACTAATGACTCCTTGGACCAATCCTCCCTCCCTGGGAGCTGGGAGCTGGGCTTTTTCTCGCTCCCCATTCCAGCACTACAAACCCATCCCTGGGCCACCGTGCCTCCTCAGCCTCTTGATCAGAAATACACACAGCAGCCTCCATTTGCACTCCCTGGCCACTTGGATGTGCCCCCACCTGCAAATAACCTCACCCTGGCGACTCCCCGCAATGCCCAGCCTGAGCCTGCGCTCAAGGCCCCAGGATCTGGCTGTCCCTGCCTCTCTCGTCAACCTGCCTCCTCCCTCCCCTCCTCCTGTGCTCCAGCCACACCGAACACCTCACTCCAGGCCCATTCTTGATCTCTCCACCCAGAATGCCCTCCATTCCTCCTTTTTTTTTTTTTTTTTTGCGGTACGCGGGCCTCTCATGGACGCACAGGCTCAGCGGCCGTGGCTCACGGGCCCAGCCGTTCCACGGCATGTGGGATCTTCCCAGACCGAGGCACGAACCCGTG